TATTTGGGAGTTTATTTAAAATAAATTAATGCACCGATATAGTATACATAGAAGAAAAAAAGCAAACGGAAACAAATGAGTGACTAGTTGAACATAATCTGTTCATTTTTGCCGCATAAGATTGTAGCAGCTTGAAGAGCAAAGTATGTGAGAATGAGATCTGCACCAGCTCGGCGTAAGCAGATCAATGACTCCATCATAACCTTTTCCTCATCGATCATATCGAGAAATCCACCCGCTTTGATCATGGAGTACTCACCGGAAACCTGGCAAGCTCCAATAGGCAATAGAGTCTGGTCTTTCAATAATCGTATTATATCGAGAGAAGGGAGCGCCGGCTTCACCATTAGGATATCGGCTCCTTCAACTTCGTCTTCTCGCGCTTCTATCAATGCCTCTCTTGTATTCGCTGGATTTATCTGATAACTTTTGTTTACCCACCATTTAACCAACAGTATATTAGTTACAAGGGTAAGTTAATAAAAGTTAGAGACACATTACGTATATACACATAATTTTAGTCATTTAGGTGGAAATTGTTTCAAAAGCCAATTTATATGTTTACGTTTTCTTGTCCAATGCCACTTTGCGGAAACGGCCGTACAATGAACTTGTATACCTGTTGGTAGAGTAACTTAAATTAATTAGTATGCATTTAAAATATAGAAATATAAAATGTTAAGTATAGTATTTTACTTGACAGAATAAGACATGATGGAAACATGTTGAAAGTTCTCAACATCTAGAGCTGCACGAACAGCCCCTACACGACCATCCAACATCTCACTGGTACAAACAACATCTGCTCCAGCTCGTGCCTGCATCCGTTACTTGTTAGAGTCTTAAACGTTTTGTTTCTTTCCGCCAAAATGGTTTTTAATTGTACATACCAGAGAAACTGCTTGTTTGCGCAGTTGGTGAATTGTTTCATCATTCAATATGACGCCTATAAAAACATTGCGGGCGTTTCAGAAATCATTATTACGAAACTGTATTGTTTATTTTTCAAAAAAAAATACAAAATACATTTCTTACCATCTTCTCTTACGATCCCACCATGCCCACTTGATGAGTACTCATCAAAATTGACATCAGTGTAGATAACCTTTGTGAAATTTAAAAGAGAAAATTTTATTAAAAAAAGAAAAAATTGAAGAAAAATAAAGTCTTTATAATCAGGTCCGACCTTGAGCTAAAGCCCAACAAACAAGGGGGTTTAGGCAGAAAAATATATTCATAAGTTTAAGGGTACTATTTTTGAAAAATCAGTTGTGACGAAGTGGTCCTGAACACGATCATTTGTCATATACTTCGTCTAGCTATAGTGAGCAAAGAGGATATATATCTTACGAGATCAGGGTATCTGTCCTTAAGAAGACGGACTGTTCGAGGCACTAAACCGTTGTCGTTGAACGCCTCTTCCCCTGTTGGAGACTAAACAAGGCAAAGTTATTCTACTGAAACTTCATGTTCGTTCTTAATAATGAAGAAGAAAATGATGAAACCTTTAACGCATCAGGAACTTTAGGATACAACATTATGCTATTCACACCAACATCTCGTGCCCTAGCGACCTGTTTTCCTCCCAAAACACACACAATACTGGTTTAGGTTCATTATTAATTTATTAGCCAAATATGCTTCCTTTCTATAACACACGCATGACGCTTGTTTGAAATCAATCTAATATAATATTTTAAGGTTTTTCAAAACCAAAGTTACGAGAGTCTGCCATGTGTCATCTAATTTTTTGACTTGGCTTTTTAATTTATTTATTAAAAAAAGGAAAATTAAATACTCTTAAGAACTTTATCAATTAGTTGTAACAATTTAATAGTTAATTCTTATGCAAATTAATTCCAACAAATTACATTTAAGTG